TGTGCGAGTGTGTGAGTCGAAATTGGGAACCCAGCTAGTCGAGACCCTTTGCGTCTCCAGAGATGTAGCTGCTTCCTTCGATGTGGCCGACAACACGCTTCGTGAATATATGTCAATATCATGCTCTCTCTCCTTGACTCCTGATCATACATCTCGTCGGTGCCACTTCTTGCGCCACATAGCGAAGGTCTGCAAACTTGCCAAGCAAATGGAGTCTTCGACCGTACATGCGGACAGCTTCCTGGCGAGGCGAGAACGCCCTCCAACAACCCAACCACGGTGGAGCGCACCTGTCAGAGAGCTGGGCTCCGGTGCCTCGTCTCCAGGTGTCGAGCCATGTAGACCCACAGCGAGAATGGCTCCACGGCCCTCAACCACCTGAAGCTGGTCGTCCAATCCAGGTTTCTGTGATTCGTGAAGGACGGAACGGCCTCAAGGAACCGTGATGAGAATGGTGAAGCGGCGTTCGACGGTGCACATCGAGCGAGTGATGCTGCAGAGAGTCTGAATCTCAGGTCGCCGCTTCCGGAAGAATTTCCTCCGGTGGGAGCCCGGGGAGGGCAGAAATGACAGAGGAATTACGGGTCCCTAGTCGCCGTAGGCGCTAGGCAACGCAAGTCCGTTAGTCCAATAGACGTCTTGGGTTCGCCACTCGCCTATGCCCTCACCTAAGCATACAGCCCGAGCTTGGTGAAAAATCAGCCTCATCTTGCGCCGTAGGCACACTAGTAGGTTCGAGCGGAAGGTTACGCTTCAGCACAGCAGGGCATGAAGGCCATTTTATCCGCGACAAGCTTTTTCGCCCTCAGGCGATCATCATCGGGGGAGGGCGGCTAGGTGCTTGGAGCCCAGCTGGAAAGGAGGAAGGCGAAGGCTGTGAGCTGCAAGCACTACACTGGCTCTGTCACTGACAGGAAGCTTTTGCCAAGATGGGCATGGGCGTGCCTTGCTTGTTTTGGGCTTCTCAGGGACTCAGCGACTTCACAGCCGCACAGCCCTCAGTCGATCGAGCCACGGACGATCGATCTGTGGCATTCCGCCAGGCAGCGACGTCATCGTGCGTCGCGGAGACTCATTTCCAACAGATGCCCCAAAGGCCTCATCACAGAGCGTTGTTCACGGTTATGGGGCAACTCAGCATGAGAGTGCACACCATGTATGATTTCAGGTCAGCAAAACTTGCACCTCACCACACCATGTTTTCACGTTTTGACTCGCCTTCGTATAGAACAGCAGATTGCACACCATGCGATGTGCAAGGGCCCCATCTACGTCTGCACACGAAATGATGCTCTGAAGGCTGGCTGCTTGTCTTCTGCATAGGCATAGGTACTTGATCAGCAGCAACAAAACTCACAGCTACCATAGGGCACCGAGTTGCACACCAGGACATCATCGCGTCTGTGCCAGCAGATCGTCATGAAGACTTGGTTTTCGTTCAGAATGGTGCGCTGGTGCCATGACCTCACCATGCTCCCGGGTCCTTTCTGCATGTTAGGCATAGGTTGCACTCTGCAGTAGAAGTTGCAGGTGAGCCATAATGCTTTCACTCAGGCCTTTTCTGGACAAGAATCTCCAGCCAGGCTTGCCTGCTGCGGCCTTGATGGAGAGAGGCAACTCTTATATTATACTACACTATTGTGTTTTTGTTCCCCGAAAAGGGGTTTAATTCTGTATGAAGGGTTGCGGCCCGGCGCCCCCCCACCGTTGAAGGGGGGGGTGGGGGGCGGGACAGAACGCACAGCGCACCACCACATATGATAGTTTGCACGCCCCCTCTGTTTGTGCACACACGTGACCCAAACAAAGCCTTGCACCCAGGTCACGATCCTCCTGGTGTACTTCGCTGTGGCCAAGAAGGGGGAACCTCCACTGGATGGAAAGTCTAAGGCTCAGCCGCGGCGGAGAAGTGAAGAAGTAATCAGGGCTCCTTTCTGCAATTGCTTTGTGCATGCCGAGGACCGACACAGACCCGGAAGGCTTGACAGCCGTGAACACTGGGCCGGACCCCTGGAAGAGCGGCACTTGCAAAGCAGGCATTTCCGAAATCACACCATATCTCTATGAGGGTGGTGTTTCAGCTTCGAAAATCCGTTTGCTGACCAATCCAACTTCCAAAGGAAGTGGGCACAAGAAGTGTGCTGGAGGCTGACAACCAGTAACCTCGCCAGCGGCTCAAGGACATCGTGACCTTACTCTGATTCCAGCAAGCACACAAAGCCGGAATGTCAATCCCATACATGTTGAGGCGTGCCGGATGTTGCGAGACCCAGAGTTCATGCAGGCCCGGCGTGCCAAAGGGACTACATGCGCCAGGATTCAGGATTAACACTGTCATTCAGACATACCCCTTCCGACAGATTCCAAGAATATTGGGTGCTACTGCAGGTGTCCGTGATCCATCCCGACCTCAGAGACACAACAACACTTACTGAAAGCCTGTGGTGTGAAAGCGCTATTTGCACAGGTTTATGAGATTAGCCCTCTGCACCAGCCGCATGCAGTGAACGTAGTGCTGGTCCTGCTTTTTACCTTCCAGGCCTACTGGGAAAAAAACTTATGGATTGCAGCTTACATGCTCGTCGGGGCGCTCCACGACGGCTGCACTGTGGGCGATGTCGAAGCCAAGCATCGCAAGGAGGCGCCCATTTGCCGTCATGGCTTCAGGAGGTTGACAGGTCGACAAGCAGGCATCTCGGTTCCGATCCCAAGCTACTTTTGGAACTGGGCGCAGGTCGATGAGCTCATAGCTCAGCTGGCCACCGTCTGGACCCTGGACGCTGGGCGCTGCACGTATAGACCATGATTGACCGTTTGGCCTTCTCTGTGCAGGGTTGGCTGAGCCGCAAGAATCTAGCGTTGTCTCACAGCCTACCACCACAAGACTCAGTCCTCTGACTTCTGTACGAGAGGGAGTGGCCGCGGCAAATGCAGATGTTCGGTGGGCCGCTGCCTCAGCTCAACGGGGCTGAACGCAGGGAGTCGGTGGCTGAAAATGTCACAATGAAAATTGTGAGTGTCGGTAAAAGTCATTGTGATTGGCCGTGGTCGGTGCAGAGCTTACCATGTCATGCTGGGACGAAGGACAAGTTGTTGCTGTGTGACCGCTTGGCAGCTTATGCACGGAGTGCCCTGGTCCCAGATGGTTCAGTTGCATTGTCATGAGCAAGTCCTTCACACGGCTGGGTCCATTCTCTGAGTCCATGGGCTCGGAAGCTCTCAGGTGGCACACTTTCCCACAGCTGTGAAAGAATTTGAGTGGCGAAACGGGCCCTTCTACGTACCTGCCTCAGCGCTTCGGCGAGCATGGTTCGAAAGGAGCTAAAGAGATCCGCTGCTTTGGACTCTCTTGTCGTATTGATCTCTGCACGTTCCCGGCATCCCTGGCAGTCTCATGTGTGCAGCTTCTGATCAGGATATTTCCTTGCAGGCCAAGGCTCGGGAGCCTTGCACACTACAGTGGGATGTAGGGATCCCGCGTCACCTTTTTAAAGTTTTGAAGCGTGAGTAAGCCACCTAGGCGCGAGCATCTTTATCTTGAAGACTTCCAAAAAAACACATGTAGGGAGTGCATCAAGCGCCGTGTTATGCAGGTGAAGGAGCGTTAGTTTGGAGTCAGGGAGAACGGTGTTCCTCTTGACATGACTTGGAGGGAAAGACAGTTCTCGCACTTGTCTGTGCCTGTACAAACAAGTCTGAAAGTTACGCGTTTCTCGTGATTAGGAGAGACAACTTTCACTTGCCTTCCTGCTCACCATGCACCACGGCACGTTTGTCCTGTCTCCCCTTTTGGCAGGCAGCTGGCAGGCCAGATCCTTGCCCTCAGCATACCGCGGGCCTTGAAAAGCTGGGCGTCATGTCCCAAGTGCGATGTACAGTCATGCAGAAGCATACCAGTAGCCCGTGATGGGTTCCAAGGTCGTTGGCAAAGATGCATGAGAGGATGATCAGGTCTGCGAGATGCAACCATAACGCAGTGACAACGTTGCTCCCTCTGGAACATGTTGAGCATGGCGATTTGGCCAGGGTACTCGGGAGCCTGAGGAATGAATCCTTTAATGAATGGTTGGTCCAAGATCCGGGACCTGGTATTAAAGACAGGCGGCTGAAACCATGGATGCCTGGATTTTCCAATACAGCTGAAGAAGACAGGGAAAGAAAAAAACACGTTATGTTCCATATCAGCCTCTCTGTCCAGTTCGCTCTGCAGACACTGCTAGAAACTCGCGGCTCGGAGAATGCAACGTGGGTTCGCACGCAGCCAGACAATGAAGCAGCCGTGTTGTTTCAGCAGCTCAGTGGACACAGGAAGGCATCGGTACAGTTTGGGCTCATTAGACACAAGCAACAGGCCTGAACAGTTCAACGCTCCACCGGCTCTTCTGAAGCGACAGGATTGAGGGTGGAGGAATTAGGCGACACATGGCGACACCCTGTGTAGTTTGCTGTAATGACGAGCAAAAATTATGTTTCAAGCGTTTTTGACGTGTGCGCACGAGAGGCGACAGTGAGACTCAGTAGGGAGGACGAAGAAGGCGTTCCGCAGGACTTGGCACATGTGACTGCAAAGTCGATTTGTCATCGTCATGTGAGTGGCTGATGTGGCTGCCACAGGGCTTAATCGAAGCAAAGCATGTGCCTCAGCACAGTCAAGGAATGGTCTAGGCTGTGCCGCTGAGACAAAATAGTTTGGAGGACACATGGGCACCAATGTCTCACTTCGGCCAGGAGCTCGTTTGGTTGCAGCACATTTCAATACTGGCGTTTTTCGCGATACTTCCCGGCGAACTGGCCAAAGACGGCCCCACAGTCCAAGCATTGGACTGGGACATAAACAAGGGGGGGGGGACGCACCACCACCCCTGCCCTCCAAAACACGTGAGGAAGTAAGTGCTAGGCAGTAAGTCGTGAGTTGAAAGTCGTAAGCTACAAAACTTGCTGCTAGCAAGTGGTAAGTGTTACGGGGACTGTGGCGGGGCGGGCGGAGCTCTGGGGTCTGGAGTCTGGAGGAAGATGTCACCACCCTGAAGCCACCGCACTCACAACATTTAGAACTCTTTGGTGGCGTGGAGGCTTCAAGGTTTAGGGTGCAGTAGCAGAAGATAAACCTAAACAAGAGTCACAGCAAGCACGAGCCGTAGCCCAAAATCAGCTGCGGAACTGAAGATTCCAATGGGCCCTGCTTACGGAATGCATCCTTATGTCCATAATGCTTTCAGCCTCGGTCACGAGAGCAATGGTGGCCATACAAGAGGCACAAGAAGGTGCGGATCGTGCAGAGCAGACTTGGCTGTTGCGACCAAGCCTTTGAGCATTATCTTTGCACCAATCCATCCTGCTTAGCCAGGTACCGCCATGTGCCGGAGCAGCCACCGCCAACATTCCTGAATCCGCGCTGGATCCCCGGCGCCGACCTGCACACCACGTCATGGGCTAGAAGTGGACCTAGGCAGATCATTCCTTTTCCAAAGCCAGGCTTCGCAAATGTAAACGGATATGGTGCTTGTAGCGAGTCCAGTCGATCCGAGGCATGACACCGCTGGAGCCCTCGCTGGGGATCCATGCCAGCTTTGCCGAAGAAGGCTTCAAACAGTCTGCAAAAAGAGTAGATGACTAAGAAAGAGGACGGTGGAAGCAACAACGTGTGGTTCGGCCCGAGCAGACGCGTCGTGCACCACTGCGACCGGTTTCAGGTAGAAGCAGCCTGGCAGACCTTTGGCAAAGTGCTAGTCTAAGGTCACGGGGCAACAACAAGAGCTCAGATAGCATCCGTGCCCATAGAATCCAGCACATTCTGTGGACGTTGGCCAGGTGCAGCAGAAGCTGAAGAAGAATCACTGCCAGTAGCCGGGGAGTCGCTGTTCTCACTCGTCTCTCAAAAGGAAGCTTCTTGGCAAAAAGACTGTAAAGCACTTGCTCCAACTAATCCGCAGATGCAGGAATGTCACTGTGGTTCACGGTTTCGAACGGAGTAGCCGTGGATGTTGGTTCGCAAGACAGCCTACCCCTCCAGAGCTACATGGCTGTTGATGTGTTGGGGTACCATTTCTCGTGTGCATCGTTGGCACGATGCTATGCATGTTGACCATGTGCGTGGGACAGCAGGTGAAAGTTGATGGCCTAGGCCGATAGAGGGTGAAGGGATGTTGCATTAAGACGGCAGGGCAACGAGCTGTGGTAGCCTGTTGATCGTGCTTCGAATCACAGGTGGAGGCCAGAGAGCTTCGCCGGGCTCTAAGTGAGTAGACGAGCCAGACTACAATGACTTTGGCTGAGATTTCCTGAGAAGTGGCGGTTATATGAGCGGAGACTCCGCGAAGTCCAACCAATCACGTAGGTGGTTAGGCTTCAGACGGAACCTGACTCATGGCTGAGGGAAGAAGCAGCTGGAAGCATTCTGCGAGAAGCGGCAGGAGGCACCTCAGCAGCAAACAAAGCCCTCAAGGACCGTTCACCTTCGCGAACTCGGCTCGCGAACTGGTGTCACCTCCCATTACAAGTATTGGAGCCGCGTGAAATGATAATTGTTTGGCAACCAATCGAAGGGTGCAGACGAAAGCACTAACTGCACTTCTGGATGTTGAGCTCGATATCCAGCCAATTTGTGCTCCTGGATAGGTGCGCCTTTCGCAGGCAGGTGCAGTGGATGGGTCCGCCTGGCAAGATGGCCTTTGCAAATTCATTCAGTTTAAAATGCTAGAGCTGGAGACCTGGCGGCTGTGCTCTGAGAGTGCCAGGATCCCAGACTGGCTGCTTGACGCTTCGTCTCTACTGGATGAATTTTACCAGGCATGGTGCGCTGATAGAGAGAGAGATGACCACCTTCGTGTAGCGAATAGGTGCAACTTTTTGGTATAAGCAGTTGTAAGAAAGAACGTAAAGAGCCATTGAAAATGCAGCCCGGAGACTTCCTGGGAAGGCTTTGGGTCAGCGATCTGGGGGGCTGGAGCGATTCCGGACCGTCATTGCGGAGGCTAGCTTTGGGGCTGCAGCACTTGTTCATCACTTGTGTTTGAGTACCATGAGTACCAGCGTGATACTTGTAGACGGATCACAACCCGAAGCAACACCAGGCTGCCAAACGGCTGAACGACGAAGAGTGGGAGCAGTTCAGAAGGCGAGCGCCCATCGAGCTTCTGTTGAAGTGTTGGTGAAGCATCTTGAGCTTGGCAGAAAGAAGTTCGGCAGTTGATGGCACGCGTTGCAAAGTCACCGAGTCAAGAGAAACAACTCTCTGTCTTTCAAGCAGATAGTCAAAGATCTTCGTCGCAAAAGTGGTGGACCCATGTCGAGGATGCCTTTTGACGCCACTCATCGCCAGGCCTGCACCGCATCATAGTGAACATGTCCCATTTTCTGGTCCACATTAGACTCAGCGTGAAACGTGTTAGGATCTGCACGTGTTCTCGCGCCTTGTGGCGGATGCAGAGATCCCGACTCAGCCATAGAGCTGTTTATAGGTGAACATGTGGAAGAGGGGGAGGGGGGGTCGAGGCGTGGCGTTTGTCAGAGCGACTCCCGAGGCCGCACTGGAAACGGCTGATGGAAGATCCCGCGTCCAGGCCCAAGGATGCGGTTACATTCTCGGACAGAGGCAGAGTGCATCTCTGAGTTCAGTGACTTGCGAAAACCACAATGAAAGGGAATGTCGTTTCGCGATGTCTCGTCCTGTAGCTTGTCATTTTCCCATCCGATCCTCAGAGCCGAAACCGTATTCGTCAGTGGATCTGTGTGGAACGCGCATGCATGCTATCTCACCCAGGCGCAGCTTCAGCAATGTTTCGCGGCAGGCAGGAGTTGCCAGCCAAAACACTCTGTTTGCTTGGAGCTTGACTCTTCGAGCGATTTCATGGCTGCAGGCCATTGTTCGCGAGTATTTGTACATTGGCCACGGCCTGAGTTGGTCAAGCCGTTCAAGAATGAACCCATAAGCCCACAAGCGAAGCTCTGTAAACATTTCGGTTCAAACCGCACAGCTTCCTCGATGGTGCCGGCCTTTGATTGTTTCGGTGAACCAGCACGAGCATCGTGCAGCAGTGACACGTGCACCATGCATTTTTTGTTGAGTGGTACAGTGCCGAATCGGTCAAAGCTGGGCTGCTGCAGGTGCAACCAACTGCACATCCACCGCAGAATCACTCGAAGTCTCGGCGTAGCAAAACAGCACCGTAGCAGTTGAAGCATGTCCACGCAACAGACGAGCTGATACAATAGTCCTTTCACCCTGGGCGCTTGCATTCGGCGGCGCGGCAGCACTGCGGGCTGCATGTCTCAAGCAGACGCAGCACGCATTTGCGACTCTAGCAGCTAGCAGACTCTAACGTCTATAGGCTATGCTCACACGGCCGATCAACATGGTCCATGAATTCTGAACGAATGAGCAATCTATCTTGGATGCTTTTTTGCTTGTGTTTGCGCATGGGGCCAGTTTCAAGACATTTGATGAAAGGCGTACCGGATCTGACGGCAGCTTTGCATAAGGTCTCGACATGGAGCGGCCCGCTGCGGAGGCTGTTGAGAGCGTTTTCTATGTCTCCCAGAAAGCCTTGCTCGTCAGGCCCTCTGTTCTGCAGATGCCGTTTGCAGTGCGGATGACGATGCAAAGCTTGCAATGTCGCTGAGCAGCTAGGTCGTCAAGATGAAGCTGAAGAACGAAGAGGAGATACCACCGGAAGTTCTTCGTTCCTTCTCGTTTCCAGGCGACCACGAGGAGTCCCGTCGGCAGTTTGCCAAATCCACGCAGCAGTAGCGCTACGCCGCATCCATCATGAGTAGAACTTAACAAGACCAACAAAACCGCCGGCAATAAATTAAGGGTGACCATAGCAACATTGAAGCATTAATTTCTTGGTCGGTTGCCTTGACCTTGGGCCGTAAGTCTTGGGCGAAAGTGGGGTAACTTTGAGCCGTGACCAAGCCCTCCTTCGTTTGCAAGCAGGTGCCCGAAGTCCCGAAGCGTCGGTTCACAGTGTACCCGGTGCCCAAGCATGATGCATGTCGACAATCCGGGCAAGGAAGATCAAATGCTGATTCCGGTCGATCTGAGATTCTCGGCTGAACAGAATCACGCCTGAACCTCGCAGCATGAATAACAGGCAGGTTTTGCTTCGGGCTAGCTGACTATGCTCATAGGTCAAGAAGGATTTGTACTGTACTGGTCCTCTGCCACTGGCTACCCTGAGTATCTTATCGATTGAGGTGTGCTGGACAAGCATTTCCCAGCAGAGGAGGAGGACGCACAGGACAACGCCCTTGCTTAATGCGACACAGCCGGGAGTACAGCTTAGCAAAATCATGGGCACAACCAGAATCGCCAGCTGCAGGAGCTGTTTGATCAGTTCGACAGATTGAATGTAGACCTCCTCATTGGGAAGTTAGGCTCAAAGAAAGCCGGTGAAGCTTCACGGCTGCACCGAATAGACGAGCTGCTGCAGCTCCCGGCAATTCAACGGAGACAGTGAAGACCCAGCCACTTTCGAACAATTCGCCAATGTTGCGTTTCAAGATACAGATATCTTCTCTCATGTGATGTGCTACTTTTCTAAGTGTATGCACAGACCCGTGGTGGAGCAACTCTCGCCACAGAAAGGTTTTCGTCGAGGCGCAGCAGGCGTTCCTCGCCAATCGGAACAGTGATGATCCGGACATGAGAGCTCAGCCGATGTCAGTCGCTGAGTGCCCTTGGCTGAACTCAGTTTGGCAAGGACTCGTGCCCGACAAGGGCTCAAGGGTTGTTAGCCTTGTTGCACTCTTGGCTTACGAAGAAAGTAAGACGTTTGCCTGAAACACAACCGAGGTGGAGACGACTTTGGGCAGGTTGTGAGGAGGACTTGGAGGAGGAAGTGCTTGAGGAGGATCAAGAAGTGCCAGCCTCAGGGGGCATTTTTTCATGGACGCCTTGGTCTCCAAGCTACTGATATACTCACGAAGAGCTAGTGCTGCACGTTTGCGATGTGAGGTGAATGAGGAAGCCAATGAAGGTGATGATGATGTCGAGGAAGGTGAAGAGCCCGCAGCCAAAAAGGCTAGGATTTAGTTTTATTGGCGCCTGTGCCAGACATCTGCATGCGATACAGCAGTCGTATGCTTGTTCCTTGTAGAAGAGGCCAAGTCCAAACGACCATTTGGCCTGACACATCCGCCCCATATCACCGACTCCAGGACACAGCAGTGAGGAGTCACATCGGAGTTTTGATGGCCAGGACGCCTGAAGTACGAGTACTTATTTCTGACCTGGGTTGCACGAGTCCGCACAAGCGCCCGCGGAAAAAGCTCAGAGGGTTGCCCCAGAGGTGGATGGTGTTGACAGGCTCTCAAGTAGCTCAACTTCATCACAATTTGTATCAGAGACCGTGCAACCTGTTCAAGGCTTGAGGGACCCCAGCGAGCAGATGATGGAGTTTTTTCAACGCCGAGGTCGGAAGTGATTGTTCGCACGTCGACGAATTCCGTCTCTCGGGCAACCAGGCTGGAGCATGCATCGTGCTCCTCCAGTCTTGCCCAAGCCCTTCGACAAACAAGGCGCAAGCATCCGTAGCGAGACAAGTGGTAGTGCCATGGATAGAGCTGAAGAGGTAGGTGCTACATATTGGTTGGCGCAGCACGGTGGCGGGGGTATCGTGCCATCGTACTGTGTGATGACATTGTGGGTGTTTGGTGTTTGCAAGGCTCGCACTGCATGCCTTCAAACCCTGTCGGATCCTTCTCTCCCGTTGTTGGCAAAACCTGCCAGCTGGAGAAGCAGATGGCCCGGATGGGTATCAGTGTGAGCCTCAACCGATCAGTTTCTGTGACTTAATGTGGCTCAAGCCAGCTGCCCATTTGTGGGTTACTATGGATGTATTGTGGTCCTAGACTTCACCTTCCCCTGTGACGCTCCACATGGATGTATTGCGCTTCTTGTATCCAAACCCGAGGCTTGCGGTTCTAGACCTCACCTTCCCCTGTGACGCTCCACAAGAGGGCGCGGAGGCCTGTTTGGGAGCATGCTGCTCCACTTGATTCAGCTCTAAGCGTCTACGTTATAAGAACCAAGTGATTGCAGGTGGGCTTGTCGAGGCCAAGGGGCGATCTCTCCGAGAATGATGCTGACGCTGCAGTCGAAGTTCTGGAAGAGAAAGGATTCAGAATCGGCAGCGAAGCTTGTCACAGATTGCTCTCAGCATGACGCATCCTCGCCCATAATTATCAACGTGCTAGAAATGTAGAGGAAATGCGGACTGTGTACCGAACACGAATGAGTACTCTCGCTATTTCTCGTGACTCCGCCACTCACGAGGACGCAGAACTCGATGATTTGGTGCGTGGTGTGACACTTGGCCTGAGCTAAGGCCGAAAAGCCAAACAACTAGATGCAACCGGGGCGAAAGACATGTACAATATAAGCCGAACTCGATGTGTCAGCGCGTGTGCCCACAGCTTGCGGTCAACAAGCAGAGGCGACAGAGACTTTCTGAGGCTGCAAGACTCCGCACAGCAACAGGTCACTTGGGCACCTGGAGCGGGTCCGGCACCTCGCCTTTGCGGATTGCCGCTCAAAGCTAGCGGCTTCGGGAAGATTGGCGTATCGCGCAGCGATGATGTGCGCAGGACTGGCTGGCGTTCTACTTGGGTCGACCTGCAACCAATTCATGTAATCAATGGTGCCAGTCAGTTACGGAAAGTCCATTTGAGTGCTCGGTCCTTTACCTGGGCACGGCACAAGCCGGATAAGATAAGATTGGTCATTGACATTCGTTATGTGGAAAGGGGGGAGAACGGGACGACGTTTGCAGTAGTCTTCGTGCCTTCTGTCAGTGTGTTGAGGAATTGTCTGCATCAGTTTCGGAGCACAAGTAACAGCACAACTGCACAACCTCCTGCAGAGCACTGTTCCAGGCGGCTTCACACAATCCAGGGAGCCTTGGCCGAAGCTCTCCGCAACCTCCAGACGGGTGGTGTTTTGGTTTGACCCTCGGTGAGCTTTTTGCCTTGCTGCGCATGTCAGATTCTGGCATGTAGAATCTAATGTAGAGATGTTGGTAGAAGACTTCAGCGGTTTGTCCAGGCCGTCAGCTTTCAGAGTCCTTTATCCTGCCTTCTTTCTGTCATCGCCATGGCACGCTCCAGTATTGCTATGCTGGTCTCCTTCGCAGCCTGCACACTTCTGGTCCGGCAGTTGGCCCAGATGACCTTTGTTGGCTCCCGGCCCATTACGGGATCCTCCTCGGTGGCGATGAGAGCAGAGGCTGAGACTGAGGTGGTCGAAGAGAAGGCTGTCGCAGAGGGCGACCGACTCCGGCTGAAGATCCAATCGGCTGAGGGTGATGCGGTCATGGAGGCTTGCTCAGAGGTGATCCTGCCTAGTGCCAGCGGTCAGTTGGGCATCCTGGCCAACCATGCTCCGATGATGTCTGCCCTCGACGTGGGTGTGCTGCGCTACAAGCAGGATGGAAAGTGGACCCCAATTGTGGTCATGGGTGGCTTCGCGAGTGTGGACTCCAATTCCTTGTCGGTTCTTTGCAATGACTATGAAGAGGCCAGCAACATCGACATGAACGAAGCCAAGTCTGAGATGGAAAGCGCCACTGAGATGCTCGAGAAAGCCGAAGCCAAAACGGAGAAGCTCGAGGCCACCCAGAAGGTGAAGAAGGCCGCGGCCAGATTGCAGGCGGCCATGTTCATGTCCAAGAAGTGAGCACTGCGATGGAAGAAATGGCGGGACATTTTGTTTTTGTAAGATTCTCCAGGTCGCTGCGCGGGCAGCTAGAAACCCTAAATTACTCTTGTTCATGCAGTTCCGAAGAGAAAAAGAGGCTTGCGGTTCAGAAGAAACCCTGAACTGCGTGCCAGGGTGCTCTTGTCCACCCAAGGGCAGCAGAGCGAACTTGTGAAAGCACGCCCATGCACGAAGCACTATCTTTGAGCGGTTTATGGTACAGATATGATGGGCCCAGGGGGCAAGAGACGATTTCCGAGAATTGGAATCTAGCCGACGGCCAGAACTTGCGTCACGAAATCGTCTGAGCATGCCGTGGGGTTGCAGTTTACGGCGCACATGTGGCAAGAACAGTAGCTGTAACTTCTTGCCCCTTTGTGCCTACATGGCCCGTCCCAGGTTGCAAGTTGGTGCGGCCTTCCCACTCATCCCGTGCTGCCGTTTCTGACGAAGCAACTTCGGCCAGGATTTCGCCGTGCCTTGGGCCAGCACACACGACTTTGTCAATACAAGCAAGATCTTCAGGGTTGGAGCATCCACCGCTTTGAGGTGTACATATTTTGGTGCCCCCGGACTGCGTGACCTTTGAGACATACATCGTTGCTGCAGCCTCTTTCTTGAAACTTTTGGGAGCAGTTTGGTGGGCAAGCATTCGGGAAGCTTTCGCTGAATGGCCCGAGGAGTTCGACCCAACCGGGCACAACAGCCGGCCAGATCCTGTCCCTTTGCGACCCCGCGAGAGTAGAAACTCGCTGCTGGGCTTGGAGCCTGCCGAGATGTGCGCTTTTCCTGCAATAGCCCTGAATAGCCTTGGTCGTTCATTACACCAACCAACCACAACCTTCGGTCTTGACATTGATACACGAGGTAGGCATCGGCAGGGCCGTACATGGAAATACGACAGAGATAGACAGAAGGGCGTTGGTGGAGGGACTGTTTGGAACCACGATGTCGGCTCAACGGAGCACAGCCATTGGCTCGGACTTGCGGTGGGAGCCTGGCAGCATGGGCGGCGTTCGTAAATGTCCGTGCCCATCGCGACTATATGCGTCATGCTCCGGAAGAAGCGCAGATGTTGTACAAACCGCGACCGTGGGAAGGCTGCAGCTGGTGCGGAACATGTCTTACATAGCCTTCTTCAACCCACGCTGGCCAAGACATAGAAGTGCACGGCGTCGCGAATTCCTCTAGTCTGCTCCAGAAGACGAAGGAAAGGCGCGGGTCTGGCAACGGTCAGGTTTCTTCCGCAGGCAAGCAAGGAAAGAGCGGCATCGGGTTGATGAAGCAAGAATCCGGCGATGTCCTTGATATTTTAGGGCGAACTGAGCCAGACGTGTTGCAGCGAAACACTCGCTACTTCCAGCCAAATCCGAGCCGACTTTGAACAGAGGGTGTGGCACCATGTTACAACATCTTACACAGGCTCACCCTCTAAGCCCTGCGAAAGAAAGAGAACACATCAAAGTAGCACCCGATCCTGCAAAACCTGCAGAAAGAAAGCGCATCAAGGCAAGTTCAACTTCCTAAATTGGTTGCGGAGTCCGCTGCGGAGCATCTTGCCATGCATTGAGTGAGGTCTCTAGCGAAATATCCCCCAGTGCTAATCAAGTTCTTTGATGCCTAGTATGACATCTACCAGATGACTGGGTATCCATAACTACAGAACTCCCGGCTGCAGCTGATGGCTTTGAGGAGAACTGAACCCAGATCGTAATGGCTGCCACCACACGCGTCAGCACATCCGAGGTTGGTCAACAGGTTACGACGATGTTTTGGCATGGACGTTAAACTTCAGACGCGAGATCTACGAAGAAGCACGGCTACATGGAGCCACGAGTTCAACCCTAGCCGAAATAGCATGCTCAATCAACGCATAGTTGCGAAGAGCTGCTAGGCCCTGTTTTGTCAACTGATGGCCCAGCCGCTCTAAGGAGTGTTTGCCAAAATACAAGGACACAGTCGTGAACGATGTGCGTGCCGATGCGGCTTACGATCGCCCCTGGCTGACGAACATGCCCGCGAAGTCTCATGTGGCTACTTTGACTCAGACTGTCTTCGGAGAGAGAGCTCATTTCTAGAGCAGCGGGATGCCATCGGTAAGGTCGGGCTGTCTGTCGAGCAACAAAATGGATTTGTAGTTTTAACGCATGAATCAACCCAGATGTTGTTGGCAAAATCTTTTGGAGCACCGACTGGGTGCAAGTCAATAACTTCGGCCACTATCTGCGGGATGCATTGCTGGATGCAATGCTGCATCGTTCATCTAGAACCTCGCAGAGTCCGCTCCGATGAAGTCAAACCTTTCTATCATATGTCGAGGCTCGGTCGGCGCCCCTGGACATGGAGGCTCGCTTCGATGAGATGTGGCAGCTTGTTCGCGACGATATCCCGCTAGCCATGCCACAATCATGTTTGGCCGATCAAGTGGCCCAAGTGCGCGATGGAACGGCTTGCAAGGCACCAAGTCGGTGCTTGAAGTGTCTGTGTTCGTTGGAAATCGGGATGGGGTTGGTGCATTTGCAGTCAGCCAACGATAGCCAACGACGTCCTCTGCTGGTTCCGTCTTTTCGGGAAGGATTGCAGCATCTTGTGCCCGTGACCCCTTCCGTTCTTCAGCGAACGAACTGCATGGACTTTTGAGGAAGTTCCTGAAAGAATGTGTCCCCGAATGCTTCGCTGTCAAAGGTCTATCTACGCGACCAAGCTCGGGCTATTGATGAACAAGCTTGAGCCGCATTCGCTTGATCCAGATCTTATGCCTGAAAAGCCCCCGTACCGGTTCAATGCTACTTGGTGTGAGAGGCAACGAGGTCGCCGTGGCCGCTGCAGATCTGCGCAGTTTCTCAGCATGTTGATGGTCCGAACCAGGCTACCACCAGCTGGAGTGTGCCGAGACCCGTCCTTCCACCGGCAGAGCTGGTCATACTACCCCAGAGGACTAGAAGCTCTTTCCGGCATCGCAACACCAACACTTTGCAGCATAGCATCGTGTCTTCCACGGGAGTGTCAAAAAGCAAGATTAGCTGCCTCAGGAAGCAGATGCCGACCGAACGGGTACCTGAAGAGAGATCTGAATCCAAAGTGGAGGTCAGCACACTGGTTGAAAGCGATGTTGACTGACTATGTCAATGTAGCTTACCGAGAGCACTGCACCTTCCGATGCAGGGATCGAAGTCAACACCATCCAAGTCGCGAAGTCGCTCCAAAGGAGGCTCAAAAGAGCATTCGAAGAGAGGCCGTACGAAAAGCAAGGACTGGTCAGTACAACGGGTCCTAGTTGATGCCCACGAAGTTGAGCAGTACTTGGCAAGAGGAGTCTGGCAAGATCAAGAGTGGGGCCTGCGAAACATTGCCCAACGACTCGTCGACCAGGCTCGTTCACGGTGAGAGGGGGGGTCCCTCTTTTGCTAGGATGAAGTTAGCAGCTATCTCATTGCAGCTCTGTGCAGTTCGGAGAAGCCCACCGCGGGCATCTCAGCCTCGGAAATCTCCGGCACGTCCTCCGCCACGGCTCCGGTAATCCCGTCTGTGTGCCTTGGCATGCACGAGGCAGACGAATCGTGGGCAGAGACCCCGGCCTGGCATCCGCTGATCGTGGCCGCACCAAGGTTGGAGCAGGAAGGCGTCTCGGAGGACGGTGTGCGGAAGTTAAGTCTGCAAAGCTTGGATTTGGAATATCTTGGAATGCAAAACCCACATGCTTCCGCTTTTCCTGACTTTGAAGGAGCTTCCCGTGGCTCAAACTGCCGATGGGCGCCTTGCCAGAGAGTGGGACTGCGGAAAAAGTTCTTGAAGGGGCAAGGGCCCTTGAACCTCTCTGACCCTTCAAAACGCCTACTTGGAACAGGATGTCGATCACAGACTGTTTAAGAATCAGTGCCATGGGGCCGCCCCTCAGACGCAGTGCTAGGGCCCTGTCAAGCCTGGTGTTGTTGTTCAGAAGTTGAAAATAGGGCTGTCTTCACGAAACACTCGGGTCTCGAAGAGATAAACGAGAATCCGTGTGCTAGACAATTCAGAGGTTGGTTGCACATACCCCCACTCGGAAGCATCGATGCTGGCGAAGGAAGCTTGAACCTCCCGGAGATGCTTCACCTGATCCGGGTTCCGGCAATGACGGCAGCTGGCTGAGGATAGAGGCAGAGGCATTTCAAAGCGCGAGCTTGGTTGAGAAGCTTCAGCAGCTGAGGCCTGACTGCTCCTGCCAGCCAGCAAGATCCGGACTCTGCTGCATTGTCTGGTGTGACATAGGAACAGGTCCGGGCCCGAACACTGATTTACCATCAACCTTATGATTGACCGGATTTAGGGTCCAAGTACTTACAAGGAAATAAACCCTTCGGCAAGTTGCACAGTTGACTTGCAGCAGAGACTCCGGTTATTTCCGCTGAGCCGAAGTCAAGCCCTCGCAGGAGATCGATTTGTTTGAAGAGTTGCCACAGCAGAAGCCTCAAGTGGACTGTCCGCCAGGTGGAGGGGTTTCCCATGATAGGCATTCCCAGCAACATCTGCGATGATGTGATTGGATGACATGCCTGACGTTTCGACTTGCAGAGATGCTTGAAGAATGACGATTTCCAGCTATGCGTGCATATTGTCTTCAGTCTTGAGGCCAAGTTGCGAAGTTGGTCAGAGAATACTATACACTATCAGGTCAAGTTTGGTATGCCGACCAGAATGTTTGGCTCAAATGTACACCTGCCGTGCGGGAACATAGCTTTAGGTTGCACCTTTTACGGCGTGATCTCTGGCAGCAGTCGGTGTTTCGGAATTTGCGGCTTTCAGGGCGTTCGGTTCAAATTCCAACACAGGTACTCATTTTTCCACAACCCTCGCGAAACAAAGCCAGAGCTTCGTGATATACTGTCGGCGGCAGTGTGTTCAAGTGCTTGTGGCTCGAGTCAAGAAATTGCTTCGAGGATGGCGCCGCCGGCGAACAGTGATGGTGGATGCCCAGAGCCATTTGACACCGTCTTGTTCGTTGATGTGGATCCTTGTCAGACATTAATGTGTTTGGCATAATGGGGTCCTGCGCTCGGCGAGGAACGGTTTGATTGAATTCGTGGGGCATACCGCTAGAGCGGAAAACCGGCATGGCTGCAGCTAGCCACGGGTTGCGTCCGAGATGACCTTTGAGGACGGCGTATTGAATGTTGGCATCCAGGATGATGGCATCTTGGATTGCGGGTTCATGCGGAGCCTGGCTTTTGCAGTGCCGCCTTTGCTTTCGCCAGTCTCCGCCGATCGAAGGAAATGCCCCAATTTTGCTCAAGACCAATGAGCTAGACCTGGCACGAGAGCTTTGTGCCGCGGGCTACAACGGCTCCTCAGACAGACAAGTTTCTTCAGCCTAGCACGACCTAGCTTTTTGCCGTTCGCTTTGCACCTCTTCCAAGATGAGACAAAGAAAGGCCGAGATGCTGATACCGCACGGCGAATTTGTGCTCTGGCTTCCCACTCGGCTGACTGCTTCGGGAGCATCACGTACGAAGCATTGGCAACTGGCCGCAAAAACAAGTGCCGTAGGTGTTGTGCGTAGCAAAGTCTCGTATCTGCCTTTGTCGGAGCAGGTGGAACGTCTTGCTAATTGGACACGAGCCCTCTAGACACTCCTCTGCCTCGTTGCCCGGCAACGTAAGACGCGCTGCAAGGCAAGCCAGGATCAGCTCTCCAAGGAGCGGAAAGTTTTTCTCAGTGTTGATGTCTAAATGAGTAAACATTTGGGAAACCCAGTAAGCGACACTGAACCGGCGAGGTGTTGCTGGGACGACTGGCGTTGCTCATCCAGGATATGCTCAGCTGCACAGTGAGCTGTTGAGAGCTGGACTGTCCTCCCTTGCACACGCAGGAGGCCGGTAGTCGTTGCCATGTGGTGCTCTCTTCCAGCTGGCGGAAGAAGCAGCATGCTGGGAGACGGAAGGTCCGGTCAAGCTGTGGAGTTTTGGCACACGCTTCGACAAACTCAGCCTGATTAGCGAGTAAGCCTTAGACCCGGCAGGTGCTCGAGGAGGAGCTGTCCCAGTGCCTGGGGAGGCTCCAAGGGATAAAGCACCGTTGAGAAGCGGTTTTCACAGATGCACAGGAGCGTATCCTCTTCCCTGCTATCCTTCATAACTTTTACCGGGGGCAGGCTTGACGAGAATTCATGCATTTCCTGCGCTCACTCAGCGAAGGCCGTTTGTCTTCGACGGAGTAACTGCCTTGCTGCTACCGGAGCGGCACGCCGTGCACAGACTTGCAGCAATACGCCGCGAGCTTACTGAACGTCTACTGGCTAACGGATGCTAACCTTTCGGCGCTTTGCTGCTTGTTTGATAGAAGAAATGCCGAGGAATGTATTTGTCAGATTTTGCACAGAAGGACCCGGAACAGTCAAGCTCGTTCGAGTTGAAGAGATCTCCAGTCTGCGCATGCCTTCAGTCCGCCAAGCAGGACAGATTTACTGCCAACGTCAAGGTGGTGGTCATCGACGACTTCTTCCTGAGTCCTGTCTCTGGTTGGGATTGCGGTGACACGAGCACCTGGGGCGCAGTTCTTTTGTCATGTGCTCCAGGTTCGCAGCATTTCTTTTGCAAAAGGCCACTCTTCATCAGCTGCCACGTTGGTGATGAGAGCAAATTTCCAAAAGCCCTGATCGTCAACCGTGAAGAAACTGAGCCGTTGCGGCAGTTAGTCGGGTAGCCTCAAGGCAAACCGAGCAAGGCATTCGAGAGCCTCATCTCAAGAAATGCACAGGCGACTTTAGGTCAGCAAGTGGCAAACTAGGACTGGGGTGAATGTCAACAGTGTTTCTGCATGTGGGGCAAGCAGGCTGCCAGATCGGAGATGCCCTTTGGCCAGCGCTCGCACAGGAGCGGCCCGGCTCTCCGGAGTTCTTTCGGGCCCGAAGTGCCGTTTGCCCTCGGGCGATTCTGGTAGATGCAGAGCCGAAGGTTGTGGAAACTGTGTTGTGTCGGGACAACGGTGCATACAAGTTTGATCCAGCGAGTGCAGTCACGACCCAAAGCGGTCGGGGTGGCAATTTTGCACTGGGATACGTTGGAGATTCTTTGGGCCGCGCTTCCTCGCTGGATGGAGATTCTGAGCCCCTCTGGGCCAAGGCCATGGAGCGCTTTCGACATCAAGTTGAGGGCTGTCACGGTCGACACCTGGGAACGTACTTAGCACACTCCTTGGGGGGCGGAACTGGGAGTGGCCTCGGAACCCGCCTGGCTGAAGAGGTGCGTGATGCATACCCAAAGGCATCCCTGCTCACGACCTCCGTCCTGCCAATCTCCAGTGGGGAGAATCCGATGCAAAGTTACAATGTGATCTTGGCGCTCTCATGCATGCAAGAGGTCGCTGATGGAATCCTTCTGTATGAGAACGATATGCTGCTCGCATCTGCTGATGACAGTAAAACGGCAGATTACAGCTGTGGGACATCGCTGGCTTCCATGAACTCGGTCTTGGTGCGCGACCTCGTGCCACATTTGTGCCCAGATTCCCTACCGGCTGATTTGGGGGAAGTGCTGTCTGCGGCTGTTCCACTGCCCAGTCACAAGATCGTTCAAGCTTTCAGCGGTGAAGTGCTCTCATCACTTGGGCCACCGTCGAGTCCTAAGCCTGTCATCGATGCGTTGAGGCTTCCACGAAGTTCCCGCAACTCTCAAAACTTGATTGCTGCCCGAGCTGTAGTGCGTGGTGCACACAAGCAGCTGCTTGGCAGTGTGGCCTTAAAAGATGAGTTGCTTGATAAATTAGGCGGTGCAGTGCCTTGGCAGCCATTTTCTCTTGATATGCTCTGCAGTACACAGCCTTTGCGCTCGGCACCGCTTGCACGAGCGAGTATTTTGACCAATTGGAAGAGAGTGTCACAAACCCTGCGGAGCGTGCACTCGACAGCCTGCAAGAAATATGCCTCGGGCATGTTCCTGCACTGGTACGAGACATGTGGATTCGGACCGGATGCCTTCGCACAGGCTTTTGAGATTGTGGAATCTGTCATATGCGCTTACGAAGGCACGTGATGTCACGTGATGTGTGGTGGTGCGCACAAGTCAAAGTGCCTTATCGATTTGGAACCCTATCCGATCGCACAAGGGCTCGCAGTGACGCAGTGAGTGTAGTTCTTGAAGACAGTAGTGCAGACTTTGTATCGGGTGAGTCGGCCTGAGGCTGTGACCGAATGCGAGAAAAGAGACCTTCTGTTTCTTCACCACTTTAAGATGAACCGGGGTTGTTGAGCTCATGATGACACAGCCCGGAACCAAGGCATTGAGTCTGTCGCAGATGCTGAAGCTTACCTCATGCGTGGAATGGAGAGCTCTGACCTCACAGCAGAAGTGAAAATTCTGCACTGCTACGAGGAGCTTGCGACAGATTCTCGGCTCACGAGACTAGCACAATCGCGAAACAGACTTCAATAATTCCACGAGCATGCGGCATGCGCACAAGCTGAGGGTGGCTACAGACTCCAAGTGGGCACAGGCTTGTCCGGCAACCTTTTGGCTGATGCTTTCGAGCTCCTCGACTGCAATACATAGACAGCGACAGTGTGCAAGACATGTGTTTGCAATTTGGGTGCCTGGTCTTGTGTTGCACAAAGCTGCCCGGTCAATCCGAGCGATGATCTCTGAGGTCCCCTTACCAATTGGAACACAAATTGCTGAAATGGCTAAGGGTTCCTTACTATATTATAGTATAATATACCCCAAAAACCCTATTCTAAAAATTGAGGATCTTGAATTCTTGTTGCAGGTTCTTGAAGCCGAAGGATGCCGTGAGTCCAGTGCATCTCGAGGGAGGAGAAAAGGCCAAACTTGTCAAAGAAGGCCGGCTTCGCGAAGCCATGAAAACTCCCGTGGCACTCTTTGTCTATTCCTTCGATCTAGCTGGGCTCATGCTAGCCATCAAATGGCAACACTATTAGATAGGTGTGCAGACGGGGCATGGTCTCATGCTGTGTGCTTGGCACAGGTGCAAAGAAGAGCAGCTTCTTCCAAGTGGTGGCCAATGCTTTCGCGCCGCCAACCACCCCTGTTCTCTGGGTTATCTAGTTACCAGTTCAGTTTCAGCTCCGTTTCAGGCACTGGCATGCACTGGCCTCACATACGGCAGGTGCTGAAATTTGCACCAACCTTTTAGCTAAACAGTTGCGCAGCTGTCAAAGCTGTTGCTGGAGTTGTGCTGGAGTAACCCAGAGAGGCGGAGATAGAGTTCAGTTTGGCATTTCGCCGTCTGTGTCCCGAGAATTTGGTTTTCAATGCGCTTGACGTTTCTATTGCTGCTGCAACAACCATGAGTGACATGAGATGGTCAACAGAACAGAACGCCACTAGATACTTCTGAGCCGTTTATGGCAACTCCAACCATGTCGTAGGTGTACGTAGCCCTTGAGCCAACAGTTGCGCAGAGCACCGCAAAGGAAACGTCAAATTTAAAGTGTATGAAGCCAGACACTACATCTGCTGAAACAATTGCTGTTCCGACAAGCCGATACTTTCGCAAGGGGCACCCTCGCACCAACCTTGTCACAAAGTCTGGAGCCACTGGTGGTTCTCTTTGCGAAAGATAGGAGATCATGTACGTCCATGACATGTGGGTGTGAGCTGCTGCGCGGAACCGCCAGCGCTTACCCGCGAAAATCCCAGCAGTGACGCAAGGGGCGGAAGCTCTGATCATGTTCAGGGCATTCACGTGTACAGTCGTAGCTTGGCAGGCTGATTGCTCGCTCCTGCTGGGTGCCCGCACTGGACGGTCTGCAGGATGACGCTGACACGCGCGGCGAACCAGTTTGTCCGTGTAAGGCGCATCTTGTGCACACTGCAGGGAAATCCTGTTCCGGGTGTGTCCAATGTCTTCGCAGATGGCACAGACCTGTGCCTTCGCCATCTGCGTGTTTTCACCATGACCATGCACATCACCCGATCACTTTGGTGTTTGGGCTTTGCCCATTCTCTCTCTGTCTTTCCGACAACAGCAGGGGCACGGAACTTGGAGATGGCATGGTACGCTTTTGGTGCACTCCGGTAATCATCGATTTTGTTCCGTTCTCTTGTGTGGCTAGTGGCTTGTGCAAAGACAGTTAGACAAAGTGTTGCATTATCCCTGCATTTGCGCCACACTGCGAGATGGAATTCAATAGCTATGAAGCCTCGCAGATGCTAGCTCGGGCATGTGATGGCGTAAGGCAGCTGCGCGTGAAGTTTGCATTGTTCAGGAGTCAGCTTCTGAAAGCTGAGCGCTTGAAAGCCGCAACGGGATGTCAAGCCTGTCTGCTTTCTCCGGAGCAGACTCGGCTTCATGTCACTGCCAATGCGAGCCAAACCTGTGTGGTTGGAGAAGTTTCCTGGCGGGCATGCTCGAAGTACAGACGTCCAAGTAGTAGTGTGTCATGCGCATTTAATTGTGCCGCAACTCGGTTGCTGTCCTGGCTTCGGAATGGCATATTCGACAAGGTTTGCCGTGGATCACAAGATTTGGGCTACAGTGGCAGGATCACGGGGCCCATGTTGGAGCCTTCCGCAGCCGTTCAGCAGGCAGGCGGCAAGCACACCACTCGGGGGTATGGCAAGGACAAGGGTACAACTCATTCCAGACCCAATACTCTTGCAAATCTGTTTGGTCAGTGTTACTGCTTTGGGGATTTGGATGTTCTTCTGTGCGCTACAAGAGCACCCGACCCGGGTGGAATCACATAGCGATGACTGAATTCGCGGTTCGCTCATCCTGGCTTGACAGGCGGCGAGTAGCCACGTCCTACGTCATATTGAGATACTGTTAGACCTCGTATTAGAGTTATTAGAGCATTCGTGGTACTTACAAGGCCGGTCATCCCAGAGAAGGACTGGACACCAATTTTCCGTTGCAAAACACCCAAGTATACTTTCTTAAGGCAGGCCTGCAGATTCACGCGCTTCGAGCGTTGCATGCAGCGGAGCCTGAGCTTACCCACATTGCCACTGCCGAGTCGAACCGGAGCATGACTAGAAGAACAAGTGAGTTTGTTGTTTATCAACGTCTTGCGCAGTGCTCTCTCCACCTGATCGATCAGTGCTCCTGTTGCAGCGTGCCTGCCAATATCAGTTTCAAGGGTCTGTTTGCAAGTCAAGACGCTTGCTGATCTGACCATCGCACAGAACAGGATTCTATACATTACGATGGAATCTTGTGCTAGTTCCAATTCGATTGCCCGCTGAGGTACGATGAAAGTAGCAGCTCGTAATCATGTGTTTTGAGGACAGCTTAGCCAAAAAAGCAGCAACTCAGAAATGCCCAGGGCTCTACAGTTGAGAAAACTGCTGGAATCTGTTCCCGATGAGCACATGTCAGCACCGCCTAGGCCAGTGAAACGGCACATCGCCCGGCCACAAGTTGCGAGAGCCTCAGCCAAAGTGGAACCAAAGAGCCGGCAGGAGCACCGAGTGCTTAACTACCCCCCCCCACCTGCCCTTGTGACCGTGAGGCCGGGCGAGCACAGTGCACGCCTGGAGCTCAGAGGTTTTACCGTTGTCAGGAAGCGTCTGCAGTTATCCAGGATGTGGATGAGCTCCACGCTTGGAGCAGCACCAGGCAGGCGGCACTTTCTGATTGCAGGTTGCGCATGCTGTCCCAGCATGAAAGCTATGCCCGAGCCAGGCATCGGCCCGGATCCAGTAGCCCTCACAAACAGCAGGCGTGCTGTCTAAGCTTTTCGGTGCGAAGGCTGATGTTTTGTGCGACTGCAAATTTTCGAAAGTGTTGAGCGGGAGCCTCGTCGTTCTGCACTAAGTTCATGGCTGAGCGCTGCGTTGGAGAAGATACCGACCTTTTGCGCCGACGGCCAAGAACACATAACCGTTTGCTCGCAGTCGTTGGCGTTGTGTGTTAAGGCACATGAAGCCTTGCCCACTTTGTACAGAAGACCGTGGCCCAAAGCATTGCAGCGGTCCCCATACGAGCAGGCCGGGAGTTCAATCAGAAACCGAATAAATCCAAGCTGAATTCAACGGAGTGCAAGGTCATGTCATCCACTTCTGCTGATGCGGCTCGGCCACGTAGCGCCACTAGCGGCGTCGCCACTGCCAAAAGGCCCACAAGAATCAAGCGGGGCAGGGGCTTTGGTTGTTGTTTTGCTGGGAGGCTGGCAGGCGCCGTCCCATCGCGTCCATGTCTTGGCGGTGCAGATGCGATCAGCTTGTTAGTTTTTCCAAGTACTCAAGTCTCTCCGTGGTTGTATCTTAGGCAACCGGCCGAGCCACTGCCTTACCCTATTACATCAGATGTTTTCGATATCTTTTAAGTAGAAAGGCTTGGAGTGTTGACCTGGATCATACATCAGCAAGAACCTTGAGCCCGGAATCTGTCAACGGCTGTGGGCTAGGCTCCACCTCTGGACGTCGGGGAGCCGATGCCTCAGCGGCAGCTCGGGCTTCGAAGCTCATAGAGCTTACGAAGCCACACGTTCTGTTCTTCAAGGGTGCCAGTCGTCGTGTGCTTGAAAGGCGAGTGTCTCCCCAAAGCGCCAGACTGCAGAGTCAAAGTCGAAAGAGCCGCCACCCTACATTTTGACGCACACATATGGCAAAGTGGATTGAAGAGTCGAGCTTCCATCAGAAAGTAGCGCCTTCTGAGTCCTGCTCGTCCCCACTCTGCGGCGTCCCGCCTCGGGCGTGCCGCGACGCTGCCTTCCGTCGCGCAGCGCCCTGCAAGTCGCCAGAAGAGCAGAAAAGCGCATGTTACAGTAGGAGGTCAGGCATGGGAATAACATAACCCATAAAGGACGTGGCGCTTGCAGATCTTATTCGTCGCGTGGCTGTGGCTCGCTCCGTCGTCGATGTTGACTCGGAAGCAGAGCAGACAACCAGCCCCATCCAAACCTAGCAGAGCAACGACAAATGTTTCCGGAGTTCGCCTTTTGCCATGGGGTTGTATCTCGACAACCACCTCGTGGTCTGTGGCTCGGCCAAGGCCGTTCCGTCGAGGGGAAGGTGTCAATGTCTTTGGTTTTCGGGCTGCAAATCGGAGATTCGGAGGTGCTCCTGAGTGCAGCCGTGGCATCGGCTTACGCCACGTTCCCGCTGAAAAGTCAAGCCATGGGCCTCTCACATACCCAGCGAGCAGAGGCTTGACTTGCATAGCTGCGTAGCAGTGACTACAAAGAATGACGGCAATCTTGCTGCTTTTGAGCAGGTGCTCTCTGCATATCCCCTACTTTACCTGGCTATGCTTTTCCCTGCTGGCGCAGCCTGTGACAGGTCCGCAATTCGCTAGAAGGTTTTGAAAAGCCTTCGGGTCATCAATCAAGCATCGTGCTCGGCAGGATTGAGGGGGCACGACTGGCAATGGCGCTAGGCTTGGCAGGACTGGCCATTAGTGTGTGTGCGACTGGGCTTGAAGCACAAGTGCAGCAAGTATTGAGAAGAATCGCTTCATCGACCTAAGGGTTTTGGATACTCCACTTCTGTGGTGATGCTGGGCATGATGCGCAGTGCGCAGGGTGCCTTGCCACAACTTTCCTTACCACTGTATGTCAGGAGTCTGCATTGAAACGTGTTGCAGCTTAAAAATATACAAAGTCAAAAGTGCTGCAGCTGGAAAATCATACAATAGTCCCACAACAACCACAAGAGGACTAAGTCGAGACGCGGCAGCAACACTAGCAGCGACTGGGACGACAGCGACGGCGACAAGCCGACTAGGACGACGACGACCCGACATCAACACTAGCAGCGACTGGGACGACAGCGACGGCGACAAGCCGACTAGGACGACGACGACCCGACATAGCCACGACACTTGACGACACTAACAAAAACGACGCCACGGCCGCCGACAGCTGCCACCACAGCAACAACAACATCAACAGCATGTACAACCAGAACCATAACAGCCTAGAACGACATCCTGCAACCACGCCCCACGACTAATTCTGACCAACTGAAAAGAGCAGCAATAAGCTAGTCCCGGCCGGGCAGATGTTCATGGTAAGGGCAGTTGTGTTCGCCGTTCAGCACGTGTGGAGACTTTCCGGAAGCCAAAGCCGGGGATTTCTTGCACAAGCCTGCGAGCGATATCATCATAAGGCCTAGCCAGCTCAGCAGCGGACGTTTCCTCGGCAGCATTGGTGGCCGCTGTAGCAGGGACGAGGCAGGGCAATCGGTTACCGTGCTATCAAATGCCACCTAATTTGGATGATCTTCACAGGCTGGGCTACATGGAAGGTGTTCTGGAGTCCTGCGAAGCTTTGGGTTGGATCCTGGGACCACCCATAGGCCAGGGATCCGGACTGAATGACTGCAGGCAGCTCTGTAGCGAAAGCTAACCTATCGAAGGTGCCTTCTTGTACGACTCTGTGGGCTTTGCTGCGGCCAACTGCATCTGGGGTCTACTGGCCGCTGGTCTTGTCGCGCCCGTCTTACACCTGGCCACGCCGGGTACATGCAAGCTGCTCGAGGCAGGGTTGCTCCGGTTCAGGGTCAGTCATGTTGGGAGTTGAATTGCCTGACATGAATGCAACTTGCAAGGAAGAGCCTGAGTCCGCAGATAACGGAGAAGTTCAAATTGATGCAGACCTGGTGAGTGTCTCGCCACTTTCGGACTGCCTCAAGACCTTTCTGCAGGAACCCTGGTAAGACCATCGGAGAAGCCCAATCTTTCTAGTGGGATCTAGTAAGGGGGTGGCTATCACACGGTTAGCACTTGCCAGCCAAGGTTATTCAAGGCTTCTGATCCGCTTGTCTGCACAGGGAAGCCCCATTTTTGCCTACGGTGCCATACTCAACTCAGATTCCAAGCATTCTTGGATCTTGGTACTGCTGGAAGTGTCAGGTGCCTGCAGCGGCGCCATGTACTCCGGGCTGGCCTTGCACAACAGGGCCATAGGAACCCAGAAGAGCGCCTTACTTCAGTTGCTGGTGGCCGTCAGCTACCTTTTTGCTGCAGCTTGGCGGCAATTCCATTTTCACACAAAACGCTCGACCTGCATTCCACAACGGCCCGCGGGCCTTGTCAGATGTACAATCTAAAGTCAAAACATGCTACAAAGCAGTCGAGGCACCGGTGGTGGGCAGACAGTGCGATGAATGTGCAGGAGACGGCATGATTTGGCTCCCTTGTGAAACGAAAGATCTCAGAGAATGTTTCGCCCTTGGAAGGAGATTGGGCGGCCTTGAGCAAGAAGCTGGCTATGGGCTGGACCATTCTGTGGTTGGCCTGCAAATGTGGTTGCAAAACCGAAGCCCCAGTTGCGTGGAATTGTTTTCCCAGGTTCGTGGGTTTTGGTCTCCTGGCGATGGATGCCGGCATACCCAGCATGGCGCTGGGTTTGCTTCTCCTGGGCTTGGGGGAGGCCTTCGTTTTACTCCCTTCGTATCCCAGATTAACTTTGGAATGCCCTCACCGTCCCGGGCAGCTTTGATGCACTGGCACCATGGGCATTCGTGTCATACGGATTTCCCGTGTAGCCAGCGGATAGAGAGCCTTCGGGGGACAACAGGAGGGGCTTCATTCGCCCACTCCCAATCTCGTTTCGTTGTTTCTCTGTTGAATCAGCAAGCCTCATGGTTCATCTCAGGTTGGTATCTGCCGTGTTCAACGGGATGTGGGCCCTTGGTCAGGCCTGTAAGTCATTGAACAGCTGTTGCTCTTGGGCTGAATGTAAATGCCTGGCAGGTAGACTGCAGATACGTAGTAAGACTAGGGCGCTGGCCATCACTGGCCGGATCTTCTTTCGTGCACGTCTTCAAAGCTTGGATACAGCCACCGCTTGCTCGCAAGAGGCCTCCGGGCCATTCATCTTGGCGTTGGTCTCCTGGTCGCAGGCGCATTCGCGCAATCGGTGTAATGAGAGCCAGAGCCACAGCGATCCGAGGGGAAAAACAAAGACAGCTGGTGACACAGTCCTTCACACGGCTCCCCTGCCTCAAACTCTTGATGTCAGTCCGCAGGAATCTGCGGAATACTGGCTGCAAGACATGGCGTGCCACATTTTTGGGTTGTGGAGGTCACTGTGAATCCTTTCTACTTCCGAAAACTGGACTATGCGGGGGGGTGGGGGGGGGCATCAGTATTCGGCACATTATTACCGGCCGTTTCGCAAAGAGGACGATTTAAACGTGTAAGCTTATCCACATGGGGCAATGCCTGTCGGAAGGCGATCCACAAAGAGGGCTATGACCATGTTGAGAATTCTTCGGTGGGGAGCACAAGATGGCCACACTGGTCTTGGGCACGTTCCTACAGTCTTTACTTGGTGTTAGGGCCGTTAAGGGTAAGGCATGATGGTGCACACAAGCTTGTTGTCCCGGAGCTCAAGACATCAAGGATTGAAGCCTGCACACTGGGCAGAGCTTCTTAAAGGCAGCTGCCGGAAGTATGAGAGAAAGAGAGAGGGCGAAGCGGGCCACTTTTCTAACCGACAAACAAGAGCCAAAGGTGAGATATCATGCTGCAAGGTCCGATGAGTCCGATGTGGTTCAATTCCGCAGTGTTTGCAAATCATGCCGCAGCATGCCTTCAGCTTACGGTGGGGCTACTTGGGCAACTTTGATCGCATGCATCCCCCAGCCGGACCAGAGAGAAGTTGAACTGGAGGAGGTGGACGCACAAAACCTGGAAGGGGCCCAGAGTTACCAGGGGGACCTGGTTGTCCTTAAAGGTGTGGGGGGACCAAAAAGTAGATCGCAACACCTGACATTCAAGCCTACGCTGTTCACTATTGCAGAGAAACTCGGGCATCGATCCGTCGCGTGTGCAGGCCGAGATCACAGCCAGCTGCCTGGCATTGTGCCTCAACTGCATCGAATCGAGCACCTTAAATGCTGCATGCCATTTGCGAGAGTCGAAATCCCAAATCTGCGTGAAGCCAGTCTGCAAGCGTGAAATGCCTTGAAGCTGTCCGGAGAGAGACCCTGCTAGGTTCATCCTGGGGCCGTACGGACTCGACTAACACCCCGGCTTGAAACATATGAAAGCCCCTGCATTGTGGTCTTGGTGGGAGTTTCTGCTTGGGCTCCAGGTTGTCGTATGTTAGTGTTAGGCGCTCGAGGAAACAGTTTGCAGAGAACCACTCCAGAGCAGGAGCGAGTCAAAGGGCTTGTGTTCTGTTGGCATGTGCACTGTTGTCTACTTGCGGCACTTGCATTGCCGAACTTATGTAAATCTGACGCGTCCTTGGATCAAACGAACCCCTACTACGTTTTGCTGCCTGCCACGCGCACCGAGACCTCGCCTGGCTAGTGAGAGTGTAAATAAATCCTCACTATGCTCGATCTATGAATCTTTATATCGGAAAATGATGACATACCTCATACTACCCATACTACGCTACACTATACTATCCTATCCTAAAACTGTACTATAGCAGCCTGCATGGCTGCTTGCCTTGTCGCTTGATTCGAACGCCGCAGCAACCTGTTGCCTAGGATGCTGGCTGGCCTATTCGCCGCACTGTGCTTGGTGCAGAAGTGAAATGGGCCGCGATTCCAACGACTGTGCCCACATCTCGCCTGGTAAATTGGGCTTGATGCAGCTACACAAGCACAGCGACGGCAGGAGGAGAGAGCAGAGGCTAGCTACGAACTGGCGCCGGCATGCCTCGCCTCAACTGAGGCACGAAGAATCAAGTCGACGCATCGCCGAACCCAGGTGGATAGACTACGGCCACAACGGCGTACTACTGACTAGGCCACTCTTAAGGGTTGACGGACACCTCACCGCAGGCTTCGACGAAAGAACGTCCAAGCTGAAGCAGGTGCAACGACGAGGGCCTGCTGCGCAAGAAAAGAGATGCGGTCTGCAGTAGCGCAGCAGGCATCTAGGTTGTTCATGTCTCTAGCGGGCTGATGATACCCCACCCGCACCTCGACAAAGGCCAACAGAGCAACAGAGGGTACCGAATGACACGGTAGCAGCGGCCGTACTGCGATGAGAGTTGAGCCAAAACCCCCGTTTGCATGCTCCATGAGATCGGGCTTAGCTGCATGGGCTGGAGGGGCCGCGCTCAGCTCATGGAGGGTGCATTCCAGGCTATCGGGGAGCTTTCATGGAAATGTTTGAAGCAGCTTGTGGCAAGGAGCCTTAGACTCATCTGATGTGTTTTTGCCACGACCAGGGCCGAGCCTCTGTGCCTCTCGGTGCATGGGTGAAGGGCTCAGTGTGAGTTGTCCAGCTCAAGTTGCAGCGTTTGTCTAGTGATGCCGGGGCCATGCAGCGATAAACATGAGGCTCAACACCTTAAAGGGTCGAAAGCCATGGCGACTCAGTCTTACGTTAAGGGGGAGGTCGTGGAAGTGTGGAGCAACTCCCTGAAATCTTGGATTTCTGATGCTGTGGTCTTGGAGGCTCCGGACCGGGACTGCGTCATAGATGGCTACGCAATTCCTGCGGGTGCCGTCAAGGTGACGTCTTCTGCTGGGACGAAGTGGATCCTGCCAGACCAAGTACCTTCTGCGCTTCGGAAGGTCCAGGGCGGCGACGTCCCGCCCTCCGAACCTCACTTGCCACCTCTGCCAGGTGCGAAGCCGGCGGAAGCGGCTAAACAGCAACCTGGCATGTGCAAGATGGGATGCGGTCGCCCAGTGCAGCCGGGCCTCACAAGAGGCATGAAGGCTTTTGACACCTGTTGCAAAAAGTGTGCACAGGGAAAGGGTGGTCACGATTCCAATTGCGGAGGTAGCACAGCAAAGCCTCTTGCAAGGTCGATCACCACTGAAATCGAAGACCCGCAAACTTGGTTGCTCGACCTGCTGTCTTCTGCGGACAGTTTCAACAAGTACTCCAGCAAGATTGTAGCCACTGTCTCTGGAGATGCCGGCACACTCAGCGCAGCGCAAGCGCAAGACGCAGTCTCGAAGCGCTTGCTGCGACCTATTGGTACAACCCTTCCGGTGGAAATGCGTGCTGCAGAGGATTGGGTCAGCAGACATGGCAAGGACGGAGTCTTGGATGTCCCAGCTTTCGCGAAGCTGGCACATCAGATTCTGCAGGATCGAGTGCAAGCTTGGTTCCCTGAGAAGCTGGTGGCGAAGACCCACAGCTTCGTCCGCCAGAACCCTGCACGTGTTGAAGCTGTTTACGAGGTCGGCAAGCTCCTGGGCGAAGGAAGCTTCGGAAAGGTTTACACGGTGCAGCATCGCATTTCGGGTGAGTCCAGAGTGTGCAAGAAAATTGCAAAGCTTAAGGGTAAGGAGGGTATGAAAGTGGAAGAGATTCTACAAGAGATTGAGAGCATGGCCACACTTGACCACCCGAATGTCATCAAAGTCTACGAGTATTTCCAAGATAGGGACAGCGTGTCTCAGATCATGGAACCCTGCTATGGTGGGGAGCTACAAGATCGGATCAACGAAGTCTTCCAAAAAGGCAAACCTTGTTACTCAGAGGAGTTCGTGTGTGATGTCATGAAGCAAACCTTGCGAGCGCTGGCCTTCATGCACAGCCATAACTTCATGCACAAAGACCTCAAGCCACAGAACATCATGCTTGTCAGCAAGGATTCAGCTTCAATCAAGGTTATCGATTTTGGTCTGGCTGAGCTATTCGAGCCAGACCAGAAACATTCCGATGCTTTTGGCGGCACGCTTCTGTACATGGCTCCAGAAGTCTTCAGGCTCAAGTTGGAGTTCAAGTCGGATATTTGGAGTGCCGGAGTCATTCATTATAACCTGATGACGGGAGACTACCCGTTTATGGCAGCATGGCCTTTGCCGAAAGGTAAGACCATGGAATGGTGGCAGACAGAGCTCACACGATCAATCTGTGAAGACAACTTCCGGGACAACAAGCACTTGAAGACATGGACCCCGGAAAGCAGAGACCTGATGCGCCAGATGCTGGAGAAGAGCGTAGCTTGCCTTAGCACAACCCGAGCCAGCTGGGCCAAGGCTCCACCTCACAGACCTTAGAAGTAGGACTTGGTAGAGACGCCGCCTAACAGGCCTGACCATCCCCGAAATCTGTTTGGGCAGCATGCGCAGAACTGCATGACTTGAATGACTAAGGTAAGCAAGAGACCCGATGCAGCTGCATGCTTGGAGCATGCATGGTTCAAGAAGCACGAGACCGCTCCCCCTCCTCTCTCTGTTGGCATTACGCAATGCTTGGATGCGTATGCAGGGCAGCCAGAGTTGAAAAAGGCTGTCTTCCTTCTCATCGCCCATATGTGCACTGCACCTGCATTGAGTGAGCTGCGTGCCATCTTCACCCACTTCGACACCCTGAATCAGGGATGTTTGGTATCATCTGACTTTCGGGATGTCCTGTACAAGTCTGGAATGTCGCCCCTGCAAGTCGAACGCATAGTACATGCGCTGGATCAGGAGTCTACTTTTCGCGCCCATGTTTTGACGAAACACATAGCATATGTACAAAGTAGCATAAGCCTTCCACAGAACAGTCGAAATGCGGCAACTTCGCTTCCACAAATCATGTCCTGAGCAGGATCGCAGCGGGACGGTGACGTGGACGGAGTTCATTGCGGGAGCTTTGTGCGTCAGTGTTTGTGGCAACAAGCGGTTGGTAGAAGCTGCTTTCGCCGTTTTCGACAAAGACGCTGACGGCAAGGTTTCCCAGACTGATTTTGAAGACATGTTTGCGAAAGGCGATGTGGAGTCCTTGTGGAGAAAACATTTGCCACGCGAGCTGCAGTTCATGGGCGATGCTGGCGCTGACGGAAAATACCTGAAGGAGCAGTTCGTGCAGTACATGGGGAGGAGAATGCAAGTTACTTCAGGTGATGCTCTGGCAGCTGTGAAATGAAATGGAAGCGAAATCCATTGTAGCCACGCTGCCTGTCACGTTTCACACATGATGCAAGTGAGCTTTAAGAACAACACCCCACGTATTTGTCGTTCCTTTGCCGGGCAAGCTTCAGCTCACTTGCTGGCTAATGTACACGCAGAACTTGCGGCAGGCAACCAAGCCAAATGCCAGTACACTTCGGCATGTGCTGTGCAAGCACCACGGAGCACAGAGCACAGATTTAAGACCCGAAGTTGGCACTAGGGCGCTTGACTTTGCATCCTTGAGTGGCATGTGGTAATGTGCAGGAGACGTGCCAAAGCTTTTTCTTCCATGGGGCGAGGGACCTGACTGCTACACACTTGAAAGCCTCGTCGCAAGCCCCAGGTGAGCCTGCGCTACGAGAGCGCATAGCCGCGTTGCAAGCTTAGCATTGTTTTGGGCCAGAAGGCTTTCATTTATTCAAGCATGGCTCTTCCTGCGCACAGCAACCACTGATCATCTTCACTCCAAAATTTCCTTTTGTCAGGTCAGGTGGCTGGCAGGTCACAAAGCAGCTTGGGAGAGGCGAGCTCGATTGTAGCGGTTGTAGCGATTCAAGAAGTAAAGTCACAGAAGCCATGGAACGAAGCTGATCACACTGGACTTTGATGGCCCAAAGCAAAACGGACTTTCAGTCCTGACGGTTTTGAAAGGAACGCAAAACGGGGCTGCTAAGACCGCCAACATCATGTTTATAGCCACCTTTCACCTTTGTCGAGAAGCGAGTTTGGCAGGACTTGTACACAGACAATATCACGCCAATGTCGGTCCTGCGAAAACACAAGACAAGCAAGATCGGGCTGAGAAGCGGAAAGTTGCTGATCTCTTGGGGACGCGCCAGTTCAATCACCGACTGCCCATGCAAAGGAATTCCATCTGTGGATCACACATTTCAGGGTTCAGGACTGATGTCTCTTGACTAGGTAGCTAAGGTCTCCCACCACAGAGCACACCGAGACAGATTTGACATGATAAAGACCACAGATCCACACAGCCTCCTGTCTCCTGTCGTGCTTCGGAAAGCAGGTCTTTGATGATATCATGATATGACGTCACAAGCGAAGAGAAGGGTCTCAATCACATTGTGGCAGGCCAGTATGGAACCGCGTATCTCGTGTCCTGGGACGAGGAGAAGTGTGGAGAAGAGCGCCAGGCCCTGAATGGCTGTAGTGCCTGATCTTCTTCGACCTCCGAGACCTTGACCCAAAATTCACTGGTTGCTGTTGCCGTGACGGGGTTTTGATGGCTCGATGCTTGGACATCGCTCAGGAAAGGGCCAGTACAAAGATGGAGACCAGGCAACGGCTAGCTCTTCCAGCTGGACACCCAGTATTTGCGAAGGGCTGCTCCTTGTACCAAGAGGCTGTCGCCAAAGTGGTGGGGCTCGAGTTCCTTCCGGAGAAGGCGGTCCACGAATCAAGCTGCATCTTCTGAGGGCCTGTAAGCCGAAAGCCATGCATCACTCCTGTCGCACTGCTCGTTGTGCGGAACATTTGTCCCTGCCGCATCGTTTCGCACCAACGAACGTGCGCCTCGGTTGCCACCAAAAGCTTTGTGTGACCTCGTGGCTTGTGACAAGAGCTGGGTTTGAGGAGCACAACTTCGCCTTCCAGGAAGTGGAGCTCATGAGGGCTCTGCGAGGAACTTACTCGGTCGCTGGCGTAGGAGCACCCAGCAGGAGAGGTACTACATGGTATTACCATCAGAATTGCAGCTTTCAGCTCACGTTTTCGCCAGTGGCAACCATCGGGGTTGATAGGCAGGAGCAGGAGGGCTGGCGCCTGATGCGTTCACGCTTAATCGTTTTCCCGCGCTCTTGCTCCGCCATCAGGCACCATCCGCACATCGTGGCACTCCGAGACCATTTTCTGACAGAGGCCCTGGTAGCCGGACGTCGAGTGAAGACGTGCTTCGAAGAACACAGATCCCTTGCTTTTGAGGCCAGCTTAGAGCTCGTCATAGCTGGTGCCCTAGATGCAGGATGGTCGCACCTTGAACTGCCTTCAACCTTTTCACGATGGCGTTGAACCAATTCGCCAAAGTCTCAAGCGACTCTGACGTCAAGGATCGTATCAACGTTCCTGCTTACACATCATTTGTTTGTTTCCCAGGCTCCTTAGCGAGGCTTGAGTCCAGGCTTTGGCATGTGGTAAAACTCCTGTGCACGTTGAATTGTATTTTCTTCAACTCTTTCCTTAATAAGATAATCATGTCGAACTCGGCAGCGGCAAAATCGGCCGATGGCTCTTGAGTGCATACAAGAAAAGAAGATCATGAAATCGACTCGAGGTTTTCAGCCGACACTCGTCATGACAATAGATCGTCGGGAGCGCGAGACCTGCGCGATCCCAACGAGCGATCACCGTCTACACAAATCAACGATAATGCAACAACATCTCTTTTTCTGCGCTGGATCTTAGGTGGATTCTGGAATGGCATGTGACGTTCATTGCTGACGAAGTTCTGAGATAAATGTTGATCGCACGCGGAGGCATGCAGCGGTCGCACACGCCTATCAGACATCGCGGTGTTCTCCGCAGGGTACACAAGTCTGGCCTTGTACAAAACTACTACGCGAAGAAAAACGAGTCGGGCTTGCAACTGTTGTGCAGCGTAAGCTGTCGCGGTTTGCTTTGAGACAGCAGGGTGGGAGACTGTGTGGGGAATCTCAGATCTTTGCGAATGCGAAAGAGGAAAGACCAAGTTGCACGAAAGTGATTCTGTAACTTCTTCGGGCAGGTTGTTAAGAGACAGAGACAATGTGTAAGCCCCTTAAGGCCTTAAGGAGTCTCAACAACACTTTCCAAGTCCAAGTTCGAAGAGGGAGTCGAAAGTTCCGGTACGCGACTCATGTTTGAAGCTTTTCATGACGGAACCGATCCTTTGTAGTGGTTTCAGTCGGGCGACTTCCGGATGACTTCTCTACTGGGTTTTCCGTTGCACGTTACTTCTTGGGACAGAGTCTTCTTTCCGTGTTTGCTTCTCTGCTTGACCCCTTGTCGAGACGAACTGCCTTTTGGTGTGCGGTTCAAGATTGGCCTGACCCAGCCGGTTCACGAACTTTGCTGTTCAGTGCTGGTGACATGGTATTGAATTTTATTGAACCGCCGAACGGACACGCCGAGTCAGTATCCTCCTACCCAGCGCTCGCTTCCGCTACGCCGCTTGAACCGATCCCGAACGAAGCATCCGAGCTCGACAGGGATGGCTTGCAATTTGCTTGCATTACTGAGGTCATGGAGTTCTGCGACAGCGGGGACCTCCGAGGGGAGGTAAAGCGACGCACACAGGTGGGTTTGTGCCTGCGAACTTCCAGAGTCCTGCCTGACATTGCTGTCAACGACTTATGACGCTACACTTGGACAGCTTGTGCAATGAAGACAATGCTGGTTGGTTTCTTGAACCCCTGGGAGGGCTTCAGGATTAGCAGATCAAGATGGCATGCTGGCACGCTGCCACAGGGCCCTGAACCTCTCATAGATGCACACATACGACCAAATTAGACAGAGACTTATCTTCTCACCGCATAGGTCACGGCTGCAACAGCAACCAAGACCGAAAGGAAAGGGGCCCATAGCAGCCATAGCAGAGTGCTCCCAGGATCTCTGCGAGCAGCATCAACAGTAGGGCTCAGTAGGGCCTTGACTTGCCGGGTCGCAGGCTGCCCTTGGCATGGAAACTGGAATTTGCATGAAAGGTACCACATAGGAACGACATAGAATGACATAGGACAGTGGGACGACTTGGCCTATCTCAGACACGGTTCCGTAGCTTGCTGTCAGCCCTGTGAGGCGAAGCCACCCAATCTACTTCCAGAAGCCACAATCATGACTTGGTTCGTGCAGATGACACTAGCGCTCAACTACATGTGCCGCCGGCCTGGTTGTAGCTGGGCGAAGTATCCAACCGCGTTTGCATAGCCTGCACCAAGCTGCTTACGGCTTTCCCGTTCCAGGCCCCTGCAAATTGCAGTCATGCACCTGCGCTCCACTGGCTCGAAGCTTTAAGCGTGAGCGATGCCCCCAAAAAGCTTGAACTGGGCCTCTGCAACCGAATTCCGACCTGCTTTTCTTTGGGTTTTGGGCGTATCCAGAACCGTATCCTAAAGTGTATGTAACGTATTCGGAACCCTGCCATGGCCTCATGACCGCATCTGCTAATCGCATGCAGAGCTTATTCAAACCCACATTCGGAAATTTCTATGCCGGAATGAATTGCCATGCAATAAACCAACCCTCTTGGTGCTAACCGTCACTGGAAACTCACAAAGCCTAATGTTTGATGTGCTCGTAGTCGTAACCAGTGACGAATCAACAGCGAATCCAAAGGACTGCGACGACGGGCTTGAACATTCAGTGATGCATGAAATTCGAAATCGAAGCTGGCACAAGCATGGCCAATGTCATCGGTGCCGGCTGCTCGGAGAGCTTGCCAACGACAGCAGCTCCCGCTTCGAAGGACCCGAACCCGCTGAACCCGGAGACCGCAAGCTGGACTTGTTGGAGCTGGATTCAGCAGCCTTGGACACACGCTTCCATTCACAGCTGGGTAGTCCTGAACATATTGCGGCCTCACTGCACAACTGCACGGGCCTGCTTGCTGGCAGCACTGTCTCTTCTTGTGGTCATCCTTCAGGGGGCCATGCTGCATCTACTGCAGCATGAAGCATACTTTCCAGCATGCTCTGCTCAAGCATCCTGCCCTCTGGGCACAGCATGCACCTACCATCCCTCGGGGCTCCGCTGCACACCATGCCAGGTACGTTCAGCAAGCTTTGCTTGGGTTGCTTTTTGGTATCTGTTGGCGAAACAAAACGCTCCGGTGCCCAGTGCGTGCTAGGCCCCAACACTCGCTAGCAGAAAGATCTTTGTTGACCAGGGATTTGCACACGACCGCGGCGAGATCCTGCGACTGCTCGGGATTGACGGCGACACTTCCCGCTCTGCTTCTTGCCAGGCAGTGCCGAAATGTGTACATGACGTCTCACACAACATAGACATTCAGTTCACCCAGGGCCCAAAGCGTCATGGTTTTCGCAAATCCTCATGTTCTGTTCCGCGACTAGGACGTCATGAACGGCAGCGTCGCGGATCTCGAAATCGCACTCGGTTCCCACAGGCGCAGGGTCATACCGTCGCCTCAAATTGCACATGGTTGGACCCGCGTACAGTAGTTAAGTTGTGACGAACATAGTCACAGATGGTATCGGCGTTGGACCCCTTTTGAAGGCAGACACCGACAGAGACGGACACGACACTACTCAGACATGCCTGCGACATTCAAACAAGATGCCTGCAAAGCGACAGGCTCGAGTTTAGGTGCGATTACATTGTTTACAACGTCGCGGCTTGGAGACTGGGCAGCAAGATTCTCCTGACAGTCGTCGCTTTGTTGGCATGGGCCCCCATGCTGAGAAGCATGCGTACAGCTGCTGCCGAAGAGCACATGCTGAGCAAGCTCTTCGATACGACGGATGAGATATCTCTGGGTGTCTGTGCCGCTGTTTTCCACCTCTCCCTGAGCTTAAAAGCAAGAAGAGAGGTGCTCGTTTGGATGGTAGTCACCACAATTGTGGCTGTGACAGCCGGCGAACCTCCAGCATCCTTTAATGTCTTGGCAGCAACAATGGGTTTGTCCCTGTTTACCTCCGCAGACCGCTTGTGGGCACAGCTCTTGTTAGGACCCGCAGCATATGCGGAACTGCAAGGACACATGTTAAATGATCACGTGCCACAGCTAAACCTGTCAGAAGCTTTCCGCGGTTTGGCAAGCATCGTGCTCATGCTTCTGCTGACATTTCACCTGGAAGATGCCCTGCGCCTGGGATCCCCTGTGGTTGAATATTGGGGCCTTGGACATGGAGTGGACCCTTACCAGTTTTGGAACCAGTTGTTTTTAATCCTTGTTGTAGCAATAGAAACGAGACAGGCATCCACACCGTTTTCTTGTTGGCCACTGGGAAGACTTCAAGTGTAAGGATTGCGACATGGTGCAAGGCGTCCTGGAGTTCCTAGTGACGTTTGCAGCCGCGGTACTGAATGCACTGTTCACAGCAGTTGCGACTCTGGCGAGTTGCCGAAACCACGAAAGCCAAGCCCCGCTGCAGAGTTTGCTCTCTAATGTGCTTCTTTCCTGGATCTCTTTGCTTTGGCTCATTGGAACAAGCCGACTGCTGGTACATTTCTCTTCAGGTGGAAGGGTCATACACGCGGTACCCTTCCTGCTGTTTCTGTTTCCCGGGGTGGTGTACCCCTGGTGGATGGCATTGCGATTTGCCAAACGTTCAGGACGGGCAGGGAAATTTTCGATTTTTCTCAACGGGGTGTTCTCCAAATTCGGGTGCGGTCTGGGTCCACGAAAGGGTCCGTCAGTGTGCTGCTAGTGCTACAGGACAGACGCTGGACGCGGTATGCTTCACAGGTTTGGTGAACGCATTCAACCGCTCAAAGCGTGGCCTGCGTTCGTCAAGCGCCACCGAATATCCTGCTCTGAGCTTCCGCATGTAAGGTGCTCTGAAAAAGCAGAGCAGAGTGGCACAGCAGTTGGGCAGCTGCTTTACTCTGGACCAAGTTGTTCTGCATGCGGTGCATTTGGAGCTACCTGTGACAATTGTATGGCGCATCCGCCAGGCATCAGCGGCACATCCTTCACAGAGATCTCAAAAGCCAGAACCTTAAAGACCGTGTTCAAGCAAAGCTAATGTCAGTGAAGTTCTGAAAATCGTGACATTCCACCGTGCAATTAACTGTGAGGTTCCAATGTTTTCCTGACAACCGCACCATCTGGAAACGGCGACTATGATGCCTTGATCCTACCATGTCTTGACGAACGGGCATATGGCATTACCTCACGTTTTGATAGATCCGAGCTAGTGTGGAAAACTGCAGGTATGTGGAGGGATTCGAAGCATCAAAAATGAAGGTGCTTGTTCTGTTGATGGTAAGGTCCGGATTGGGGATTTCGGCATCTCCCGTGTCCTGGAGGGCACAGTCGACGTTGCGGCAACAGCTTCTGGATTGCACTGTCGTGCTGCAACGATGATTTTATGGAAGAGTCATCCTGAGTCATCATTGTTTTTGGCTGAGGTCGTCGGGACACCGTACTACATGTCTCCCGAGGCTTGGCGCGGAGGGATGAAATAGGTTGATCCATCCTCGACGCATCTGCTGGCTGCAGACACAGCAGCCTGGCAAGTCTTGCCATACCTTCCAGCGGCGTGCTGCAATGATGCCTGTTCCATCACCTGGCCTAAACTGAAATGGCTGAGAGGGATGGGCATTTGCTGCAGAGAGACAAGTCCGAACACTGTGGAAAAAAGATTGGCAAATCTGAAATTGTGACATGTGGCTCATGTTCTAAGCACATCCTTGTCTATCGAGTCCATCTGAACGCTGTAAGGCGTCCTTGCAGACCCGAAGCAGGAAAAATGAACTTGCAATGTCTCATCCTTGGAACCTTCGCAGGTCTGCAAGGCTGAGCCGTATGGTTACAAGTCGCTTCCTCAGGATTAGTTCTTGGTGTTTCCGTAAATGCTCAAATGCTGCGACGAACGACGAGTCAGGGTGCATTGAGGGCAGTTAGGCAAGTTCGTTTGTGGTGGACACCATGCGTTGGCGAGCTTCTGCCGTTTGACAAGGAGCGACATATGGGCCCTGGGCTGCGTGCTTTACGAAATGTGGCAGCCCTATGTCGTGCATGCTCGTGTTACAGTCATGCGTGCTGCGGTGGGGGCCGAGCTTGGCAATAATGGCAGCAGTCGAGTCCCTTGTGAAAGAAGGTGTATGTTGAAGCACGCCTTCGAAAGCCAGTCGCTGCAGCGGCCCTAGCAACTCCGCGCATTCTTGATTGGATCATGCATTGGAAGCCACGAATCGCAGCCAGGAATTACGCGTGTGTGCGGCAGCATGCTGGTGATGCCTAAGATGGAAACGACCGTGGCTGCCCATGTCCAGCCCAAGCGAAGGAAAAGACACTGATCAATTGTCAATCACAGCGCAGAGACAAAGTCAAGCACCAACTAGAATTCTACAATTTTACTTGTAACTTAATGGGTAAGACAGCATCGCGCTTGGCATGGTCCTGGGCCGGCGCTTGCATTTTTCAGCGAGGCCTGCACAACCAATCTGCAGACTGCATGAGCTGAATGCTGTTTCTTATCTGATTGGGATCGATGTTGTGGTGTTTGTGCTGGCTGTAATGTGCAGTTGCAGCATCGAAAAACATAAGCCATACTCAGCCAGCGATTGCAACTGTTCAGTGCGAATGGCCACATGTTCGGCACGTGCACGCAAAGATGGTATGCTTGATCACGAGAGCGCAAGGAGACGGAGAGAAATATGGGGGGGGCGCCCGGAGCGTCGCTCCTCCACCTCTTACCCTTGAACAAAGAGCCACCGTGCGTCCAAACAACAGTTGGGCGTCTCCGCACGGGGTTTCGCCCCTCAGGCCTGCCGAGCTGTGTGCGGCAACGAGGCTACGAAGCTAGCAGGTGCAATGAAAGCCAGGATTCCCATGCCCGTACCTATTGGCACGGCCAATAGCAGTCATCACTGTCAGCACACGGTACTGTAGAAATCATCTTGTTTTGGCCATTCTCAGAACAGATGTGGTGGTGCTAACGACGAATGAGGACACGACTTTGTGCAAGCGTCGCAAACCGCCAGGTTTTACAATTGGTAGCCTTGTCTTGTTTTGCTTGGCGGCGATTCAACCAAAAGCAAGCAGCTCGTCAACAGCACGATCCGTTGCAAAGCTGTTCTAGACATCGCCGGCAGGTGTGTCTGCAGGGGTCACCTTCCCTGTCGGAGATGCGGCTGTCAGTTGCCGAACACCTTGCGGTCTTTATCGCCGCCTGCATTTGGAGACCACTGGCACCTATCAGCTGCAGGAGGCCCAAGGCAGGTGGTGAAGATGGGTTTCTTGCACAAAACGGAAACACGGAGAAGGTGGGGCAAAGACCAATTAGAGCCTCAACATGCAGTGTGAGGTGCTGGCTGCCTCTGCGGCGCTGTGAGGCTGAGGCATCGCCAAGAAGTGCTTACTGAAGAATGCAAGCTTGTCGACTTGATGATTCACTTCCTGCAAATTCATGTGTTAAGTCGGCCAGACTGATCAAACATGCAAATGCAAGATCCGAGCACTTGTCAGATTGCAAGAGCCTCCCATCCGGCTCATGCACTGTCACTGCAGCATGTGCCGGCGACAGGCAAGGTGAGAGCATTTTTTCTGTTCGACCTTGTCCAGCCTGACACCAGGGTGGCGGTGCCTTCATGACCTGGGCCGCATACCCGGATTCGGCGATCGAAGTGCTTCAAGGCAAGGCAGCATATGTCGGTCTTTGTATTCTTGAACTGGTGCTTGGGCCTTCTAGAAGCAAGGCTGCAACACAGAAAAGACGGAGAAAGAGAAGCAAAGTGACTGTTGCTAGGAAGCACGGAACATGAAACCTGTCACAGCTGCTTTTTACGCCGACCAGATTAGCACAGAGCACAACGGACGCCGCACGAGAGCATGCACTGTAGCGCATGCCCTTACTCAAGCCTAGTGTAAGCAAGAACAAAGAGAAGCAACCTAGAACGAGAACACTCCGCCACCGTCGTCCTCTAAAAGTGCCACCGTTGTCCTCTAACCAGTCGGGGCGAAACGGACGATTCCGGAGCAGTTTTGTCGCAGGAAGTCAGGCAAAGGTTGTACGGATCTCCGACATGGTTGATTTCGACTCGCATGCAAACGACGCGTCCCGGTGCCGCCGCTGGTCCACCGGTTGTCATAAGAAGTGCAGCAACCAGAGCACCACGGCCAAGAGGAACGAGGTGAACCTCCCTCAGCATACCACGGAAGAGGGACGCTCGGGGGAAGACCCCCAGGCCTTCAACCCGGAGGACCAGAGGACCCAGACGATGCAGAGGGGCAGCGCAGCGCCGGTCACTTCAAGATGAACGAGGAGGGAGGCTTCTGATGACAGACAAAACTGGGAAGAGGCATGGGGTAGCGCCGCACTAGCAAAAGAAAGAATCCCTTCAGCTGCAGCCGCAAGACGAACAAGGAGTTCGAAGTTAAAATGAAATCCAAGGCCGTTTGATTTACCCTCGGGGACATGGCAAGCAAGCAAGCAAGAAGAAGAAGGCGCACGTATGTATGCGTGCATGCATGCATGTATGTGTGGATGTAGGATGCTGTGGGTAGGCAGGAAGGTAGGAGGCGGGAGGGAGAGGGGAAAGGGACGAAGCTGCATAGGTACCCTATCTGGGTACAAGGGCACGTGTTTACGTGGGTGCGGGTACGTGGGGACGACTCAGGTATGTGCCATATCTACGTTTGTATCTGTGTATGTATGCATGCATGCATGCATGCATGCATGCATGCATGCATGCATGCATGCATGCATGCATGCATGCATGCATGTGTGTGTGTGTATGTATGTATGTATGTATGTATGTATGTATGTATGTATGTA